GGAAACGGGGCCACGTGGAAGCAGAGAGAGAGGATGGGCAGAGTCTTTCCTACTCCAGAGGAGCACATGGTGTGAAAACCGACTGCAGCCCCCACTGCCATCCCCCTGTGCCTCAAGGCAAAGGATGGTGGGGGGAAGGTGAAGAAACCGGGAACAAAAGCTGAGCCTGGGAAGAAGAGAGGGGTGGGGGAAGGTGTTTTGCCTTTAAGATCTGATTGCATCTCCCGTTGTTCTACTGATGTTGGTACAAATTAAATTGGTTTTGTTTTTTTCTCCTTATGATGAGTCTGTCTTTTGCCTGTGACCTTTTCAAGTGGTGAGAAGCCCTCCCAGTCCTTTGACTGGTCCTTTTTGGGGCATCATGGTGCTCAGTTATGCACTGGGCCTAAACCACGACAATCCCAAATAGAACAAAAAGTTTCTTTACCTCCAGCTAAGAGTCTCAAGTCTTTTTACTTGTTTCTTGTTGTGTCCATGACACTTCTCCCTGATGTAGAAGTGCCCTGCGTACATAGAAATGCCATTCTGTGCATCACAAAGGGATGAGTTGTAGGTTAGCATTTAAAACTCATTACAATTTCACATTTTCAAGTTTAGACTTAACCTCCTGAGCGTATCGGTGCCTGGACACAAGTCTTCTCTAGAGAAGTATCCCTGTGGATCTTTCTGTCCCAACATAAGACACAGGGCAAGGTTCAGTTGCTCTCAGAAGGCCTGTGATAATGTTATCTATTTTTTCTTACGTGATAACTCTGGGAGGGTTGGACCAATGTCTTTAACTGATGAGCGATGATCAGACAATTCCTTGCAGACATGTTTTTAGTTATGGTGATTTTCATCCTGTAGGTGGAAATATAAATGAGGATTCTAGGGTCAAAAATTACTTTAAAAGTCTCTCACAAAGCAAACAAGTAAATAATTTGAATAATTAGTCTCCATATCTTTGAAGATTTTGCTGTTGTTGAATTGCTGCTCTGGATTCCAGCACAGTACCGTACCTCCGGCTGTGTGAGCTTAGTCTGCACTGGGAACTGTGCAGGTAGAGCCTGGCAAGCTGCCTCTAAAAAAGCTCTTTCAGGTACTGAAGTTTGTTAGCTCATTTACACTAAAATCAGAGGAAAGTGCATTTGCAGCATTATATATCCCAGTCTCCAAATAATAAAGTTAACCATAACTTTCTCATTTCTGGACTTCTGTGCAGTGTGGATTTACCCAAAAATCTCTTTAGGCTCTTAGGCATGTTTTTTGGACTCTGCTCATGTTTGCCCGTTCACGTGTTCTGTTTCATAGAGGTTCTGATGCTTGTGTGGTATCATAAATAGTAAGGTCTTGGCTGAAATACATGTTAAAGCTTCAGTTCCTGCTGCTGAAGGGGCTTGTGGGCAGAAGATCAATTACATCAAGAATAATGTGCCTTCATTTTTCATGTGTTTTCTTCGGACTGTCATCACTAGTGCCTCTTTCATGTGTTTACTCTAGACTTGTTATACTTTTCACGGATGAGTTGGGTCATATTTCCCACTGGAGAGCCATCATGGCAGGGAGTCTGGCTGGCATGGTTGCAACTGTCGTGACTTACCCCACTGACGTCATTAAAACACGGCTCATCGTGCAGAACCGACTGGAACCGTCCTATGGAGGAATTCTTCATGCTTTTTACAAGATTCATCATCAAGAAGGACTCCTTGCACTCTACCGTGGTGTTTCACCAGCTATATTGGGTAAAATAACAGTGAGGAGAAATCACCTCACTGCACATTGTTTATTGCAGCTATGTTCGTATGTTGTGTTTGTTTGCTCGCTTGATTTGAAAAGCAATTAGTAATGTTCTGTAGAAGGTGTGGAGCTTTACAAGGCACGACAATACTGGTTACCTCTGCTGCAGGTTTATTGCTTCAGACGATGATCGAGTGCATAGCATTTTATGCATGGTTAAGTGTTCAACAAAATACTCCTTTTTTTCTTTTATAGATGATGTAGTTGTGCTGGGATGCAAGATCTCCACCATTTAACTCTTAAAAATATACATACACACACAGAGTGTTCCTAATTACCATCTAGGTGTGAGCGCGTCTCCCTAGCTGATCAGTGAAACCAGTGCGAGCAGTCATGTATAACTGATGTGAAAAGTGAAGATTAGTGATATTCTCTCTTTACATTAAATGAATTTTTAATTATTTATTTACTCCTCGTAGCTTTTTAAAATGCCATTTAACTTTGAGTCCACTGTTTCACAAAATGCTTAATAAAAATGCATAATAATAATAATAATTAATAATTATTAACCCACTATAAAATTGCTGAGGGTATGAAACATGCAGGAGAGGACAGAGGCATCCTTCACCAGCTTGACTGAAGAGGCATCTCTGCCTGTGTGACTGGTGGAGTTGGGTTTGAATGGAGAAAGAGCTTGTCACAAAAGACAGAACCTGTCATGAGAGTAAAGAGGTTAATAATTCTGGCAACATGCACGTTTTAATGTGTGAATATATGCCCCTATCAGCACATCTGGATGCTGCACTACGGGTGTTTGGTGGTAGACCAGTGACTGAAAAGTAGAGTTCTTCAAAACATGGATCCAGTTTGAGCAGTGTGAGCTGTAAACTGGCAGTAGTTCATCCCATCTTTCTACGCTGTGTGATGAGTTTTCTTTGTGTACGCTGTGTTGATATAAACCTTCTGTCTGGTTTGCTTTCTAGGTGCTGTCCCGTTTTCTGCGGGCTCATTCTTTGTTTACATCAATCTGGACAAAATCTGGCAAGAACCCACCACTCATTTCACTCCTCTTCAGAACTTCATAAACGGCTGCATAGCAGCTGGTGTGGCACAGACGCTTTCTTTCCCCTTTGAGACTGTCAAGAGGAAGATGCAGGTACAGAGCATTCGCGTTACTAATCCCTTGTTACAGGTGCTTGTTGGGGGAGCTAGGGACAAGACCAGCCAGGTGACTGAGAGTTCCATTTCATCTCCCTTACGGAGGCATTGGTTTAACCACCATTAGTTGGTTTCGGGGGTGTCTTTTTGTTTGGTTGGTTTTGCTTTTTTGTTTTGTTTTTAAGTCTGAAAATTATTGTTACAAGTGTGTTGTTACACTTTTAAGGTGAGTTCAAGTACTATTATGGGATATATGTATACTCTCAAACTCTGTGTCTTTAGCTTTATTTGTTTTCCTCTTCATAGCAATTCCATCAAATTCTCACAGTTTAGAATTAGCAAGCCTTCTGTCAAATACAGTCACCTTGATGAATGAGGTCCACATAATTTTCAGAGCCTGTGTGTCAGCTGTTTATGCCTGAACTACATGGTGGCCAACACAAGAAACCTGCACAGCAAGTATAAAGTTTGAAGGTTCAGGACTATCCTCGTTTTTATTTCTGACTCCTCTGGTTAACAAGTGACTTCTCAGTTGCTGGTGCTGCTCATTCCTGGAGTATCAGCAATACAGGAGTTTACTCTGTCATTTTGTATTATCTCGCCTATCCTTTCTCCTGAAAGTTTAGTAATAGGAATTCAGAAAAAAACCCCAAAACACCACCAAACCCAAACAACCACCACCCCACAGGTTCCATCGCACTGACATAATTCATTTGATGATGTCGACTTTTCGTTAGAACTTCATCAGTAGAGTGACAGGGAGTAGCTGTCATCATCTGGTGGCTCTGTGGCTGTGACATACGAGTTTGTTCTTTCAGCTCAGTTCATAGGACTGCAGATTCGTGGGAAGCTTTTGTGATCTCATCAAAGAAGCTGTCTGTTTGGTGTGGCAGCATTACACAGCTCCCCTTCCCCCTCTTCATGTGGTAGTCTGGTTGGTAAGTCACAAGCTAGGAAGAAGGTCAGTGAAACTGTGAATTTTCCTCTCGTGCTCTCCAGGTTCCCTTTTTCAGACAGGGCTCAGATCCAGTGGCACAGAAGCCTCTGTTGTCCTCTCTCCATCTTGTAACAGAGGACTTCAGCAAAGTGACATCTTTTATTAGACCTGCTCATGTAGCTGTTGTGTCCAGAAGTCAAGCTTTAGGCTGAGGCCTTTCATCAGGTGTCTCATAAAATGCCACAGGTGAGAAAGAGATACTGAGCATGAAAACTTTACCATTTTTTCCAGCTGTATCAGTGGGTCTAAGAAAAGTAGTTACTCCTTACAAGTCGTCTTTTTCTTTTCATCCTTAGGCTCACAGCCATACTCTTTCC